TCTCTGGTTACTAGATCAAGGTGGTGATGATCTCAGTTGTAGAACAGTTTCTTTTTCACAACATATAGTGGCTAGAATCCTACGAGTGGCATATGTATGGCCTAAGTCACACTGTGTGTGTAGGGTGAATTATTCAACATTGCACAAGGGATTTATTCTGCTGGCAGTGGCGAAAGTGGAATTTTGCTTATAGCAAAATTGCGCATTGTGCTTGAGGATTACATTTTATCCAATGGCACTCAGTCATGGAGATGCGTTGAGCAGTTTTGCTATTCTGCATAGAGGTTGCATAGTGCTAGAGTAGCGTATCACTCCATGCAGATACTTAGGTAACATTAATTAAAGTATATTAATTAAATTATATTAATTATTCTATGGTATATAACTATAGCAAGTTTGGAAGCTTCAGTTAGTTTAAAACCTGGCAGCCAGATTGGTCACTGGTACATCTGGTGTGATCGTGTCACACCAATGTTAAAATCACTCACTGAATGCCAGTTAGTAAGTACAAAGCTTTTGTTATACCTTTAAAGCCCTACATGGTTTGGGTCAAGGTTACCTGCAACACTACCCACTCCCATATAATCAGTCCAATATAATCAGGTCCTGTGGGTGACACCAATCTCAGTCAAGTAAAAGTAGGCTTACGGTTTCTCAGACGCCATTTTCTTCAGCCACTCCAAGATTGTGGAATTACCTGCCTGAAGAGATTTGTCAGCTGGATACGGTGTCTGCATTTAAAACAGCAGTAAAGACCAACTCTTCCTGCAGACTTATCATTTTTAAATTATGATGGTGATTGTTATATTTATTTATATGGCATCTTTCTCCCAAAATTAGAACTTAAGGTGGCTTACAGCTAAAAACAACAATACAACTAAAAATATACAAAAAGGTGAACATTAAAATAGGATTAAACTATCAAAATGATTTAAAACTACACTTAAAAAAATAAAATACTATTAAAAAGATTTTAAAAACCCTTTAAAACAATCAATACAAAACAAGTATTGATTGATTGATTTTAATATGTAGTGGCTTTACATGCTCTTTTAACTGATGTCATATATGTAATCTGTTGTTGTTCTTCACCTCGATCCATAGGGAGAAATATTTAAAAACTCTTCCAACTCCTCTTCCTCCTCATGATATCATATGTTCTTACAAGGACATGCACTGAATCAATGGGAAGCTACAGATAAGAATCTGAAACACCCAAAGGGTAATAAACAATTAACAGTGGAGGACCACAATTTCAGATGAAGAGCATCCCCACAAAAAGTGCATTCCTTCCCCATGATCTATTGGCAGAACCACTTTTTATTACATAGTTTGCAGGAGGATTGGGTCTCTGGCCATTCCTTGTCTTGCTGTCAAATCATCTCTAGGCAAGAAAATTGCTTCCTCTTCCTCTGAGAAGCACTGAAGTGGGGACTCCCAACAGGCAGATTGCCATTGGGGATAATTAAGCAAATTAAAAAAAAACAACTAGCACCCGCTATGTGAGCAACATCATCCCCACAAATGAGGATAATTTAATTACAATGCAAAAGAGGAGACCTACTTTTCCGGAGAAGTCCAATGTGACCAGAGATGTGAGGGTGATGTAAATGTTGCCAAGCTTCTTAAATGAACCTTCATGAGTTATTAAAGGAAGAATGTCTTTTCTATTAGGGCCTGAATATTAAAACATGGCTGTTTTCCATAATCATTTCATATTCTCACCATAAAATTCAATCAAGACAACAGCTTTTGTATGCAAGGGAGCCAAGAAGAGGAATGGCTGCAGATGAAAATGCTGGGATGCAGCTGAAGCCGGAAAATCTGGTTTTCAAAAGGGATAATTAAACAGAAAGGGAGGCAGAACCTTGTAAAGAGAGAGGTTCTGGATAGAGATCCAGAGAGCATAGATTAAAATAAAATCCACTCTAAACCATCACTCTGGGTAGTATCCATGCTTTTCTTCTGTCAGAACAGGGAATTCACTACTGAATACAGAATTCAAAATGCTGAAGTCTCAGGGTTTTGGTCTTTTGGAAATTAAGGTTCTAGCTCTCATGATCCTAAGATTAAAAATATCTGGGCAACAAGGAAGGATGAGAGTCTTCTATGCTCAATGCTGCAACTATTCTGGGAGAGAGTAATGATGCAAACGATTGTTTATACAAATCTCTTGATCTGATTTGATGGACTTAAAGAGGAAGCATGGTACAAAGGTTAAAGCAGGGATGAGAACTGTGTGGTTCAACATCTGATGAACCACACAGTTCTCAGATGTTGTTGGACTGCAATGCTAAACAAGCCTAACCAGCATAATTGATGATGAGGAATGCTAGGACCCGTAGTCCAGCCAGATCTGGACTGAATAAATTTTGGATCCAACTCAAGTTCAGTTCAGCTCACTCACAAAAGGTTGCAACATCAGTGACAAATGGTGTAACACACATGTTTCAGAAAATTAAAGGGAAGGAATGGAAATAATCAGCCCTCAAATCAAGAGAAGAGAAAACTGATGTCACCCTAAGTTCACCTAGAGGGTCCAGAAAGAGAGGAAAAACCCTCAATATCCATGATTTTTCACATCTCATCCTTCCTAGATCCAGGTTAATTTGTGGCCTAACTTGGATGAAAAGCTTATAAAAGCAGAATGTTCCAAAGTAAGTTGGAGCATGGCAAACTTCTGCTAGGGGAGAAACCAAGCCTCTGGAAGGAGAAGGAGCTTAGCTTCCTTTTCAAGAGAGAATGAGCAGAGCAGAAAAAAGGCACTGAAAACTCCCTGGCAGGATTTCACTTTCTGGCTCTTGCTTGCCTGATGGCCGTGGGTATGGGGGTGAGTGGACCACAGCTTGAAAACCTGTTCCTGAGGAATCTGCTACTTGCCTTTCTTACCGATGCCACTTTGCTTTTGTGTCCCCAGAAATTCCAAAATGAAGCAGATTCTCAGAAGGCCACAGCTGGCTTAAAGACTTTGTTAGCAGTTACAGCGCCTACTTTACTTGTGTAGGTTTTACACAAATTACCTTCAAGTAGCTCTCCACTCACAATTCTTCTCCACACTGCCCACCTCCGCAGTTAATGCAACGTGGACGAGCAACACTTGAGCTACAGAACTGACTGCAGAAAGGACTCATTAGCAATGAAAAGCAGGAAGATGGGGAAAGCGTTCAGTCACTGCAGGGAAAGAAATGGTGGTACTTCTCTCTTTCCCTCCCCAGCAAGAACACTTAGCTTGTGATGTAGGACCATGATTCAGGAGAGTGAGTAATGGAGCGGGTACATGTCCTCTGTCATTTAAAAGGAAGCATAACTATTAAGTTATGCCGGCGAACTGTTTTTGGACACAATTCAAAGTGCTGGTTACGATCTACTCACCCTACACAGCTTAGGTCCAAGATATTTGACAGACCATTATTTCCCCCTGAGTCTGACCAGGCCCTGGGATCCTAAGGAGAGGACCATATTTCAATCCTACCACCTTCACAGGCCCTAAGGCAATCCTACCATGGTTTTAGGGAAAACAATGCCCAGAATCCCCCAGCCTACTGGCTCGCAGATTCTGAGTACTATAGTCCAAAACGTGACTTCACTCCATTGGTCCTCACTTTTATTCTAAGTTCCTTTAGTTGTTAAAAAGTGTCTGTACTGTTAATTAATGAAGAACAGCTAGGTGATACTCTAAAAAACAATCACTTGTACATCCGTTCCCACAAAAGCACATGTTTTGCTGACTCCTTTGCTGAACTCTCTCCTTTGAGAGACCTCAAGTATCTCCTCTCCACATTTTCAACTACATGCTTTCCTCACCTGATTGGAAATTTTTCTCCAGGGTCCTTTCCCAGGTGGAACAGCAGGGGAAGTTTGGAGTGCTCCTCTTGATCATGGGTTGTTACTCCAGAAATGTTTTGTCCCGGGCAGAAATCAATGCCCTGCATTAGAAAGACAAGAGCTGTTCAGAAAAATGATTACAAGAACTGGGGGAGAAGACAGACGAAAGAGAGAAAGAGATAGACTGACCCTGTGGAGTGTAGGAGGCCAGAGAAGACTTGACTGAATCTCATCAGTCCCATTTTCCACTGATGGAGGGGCAATTCTACCCCAATGGGATTTTCCTTCAGTCCCCAAATTTATTACATCGCAGAGAGTAAGTCACTGAAAATCATTCACACCTGCAAATTGGTCACTTTGCCATTTTTCTTTGGATGTCTAGACTGCATTTCTAAATGCTCAACTAAAGTGTTAAGTTGGTGCAATGCTAGAAATTTGGGGAATGGAGAAAAATTTCAATGGAGGAGAAGAATTCTGATGTGGAGGGGCAAAGCCTTCATTTTGCTCTCCTCCCTCCATATCTACATTGCTATATACAAAAATCTGGCCTTATTTTAAAAAAACCCAAAACAAACCTGATACATCTGGGAGCAAATTAACCCAGGTGCATACAGTCATAAGGTAGTCAGGTCCTATTGTATTAATAATGCTAATGGTCTGCAAAGGTCCTGCTGCAATCATTTTTCTCTGTTACTGAATCATGACTAAAACCTCTGTTCTCGAACAATTCAATCTGCCAGAGTTCCTTTTTAAAAAGAGTCTACAAGCTTGTTATTAGCACTGTGCTAAAACACCCTCTGCAAACACATGCACACAATATGTCAGTCCTCAAGAAAATAGCACGAGACAGGTGGCTCTACCTTTTTATAACAAAACAAAGATAAGAAAAAAGAAACCAAGACAAAAGGAAAACAAAGATAAGGGGGGAAAAAAGAAAGCAAGATAAAAGGAATAAAAGAGATGAGGGGAAAGAAAAGGAAATTGCATTACATCCTGATAAAACACTAAATGCAAAGAGGGAAGGCCATCCAGTCACTGCAGTTATGATATTTTGGATGTCACTTAGACAACTACCTCTGCCAGTCTGGACTGACCGGCAGCACCCACAAGATGATGCAAACACAGTCCCTAAAAGCCTAGATGGGTACAACCTAGAGATGCAAGAACTATCTCTAGGCTGGCATGGTGTAGTGGTCTGGGCATGTTGGACTGTGACTCTGGAGACCAAGGTTCAAATCCCCATTCAGCTATGGAAGCCTACTGGGTGTTCTTGGGAAAGTCACACACTCTTAGCCTCAGAAAACCCTGCAATAGGTTTGCATGAGGGTCACTAAGCCAGAAACAACTTGAAGGCACCCAACAACAATAATAAACCTCTCCAGGAGTACAGCAGTCACTGAGAATCTCCCCAAATCAAGGGATCTTTTCATTTGTTTTTTAACCCCAATTCACCTTGCCAAATTTTAAAACTAACCATTGGATGAGGGGCAAGAAGGGCACAGAGAGGGAACCTTGCATGTGGAATGGCAGCCTTTTTGAATATCAGCATTCTTCCTGTGATCTCTCACACAGTTTGGACTGAAAATGTACATCATTGACTACTACATCCTTTCATGAAAGGCAAGTTATTTCTGTAGTTTTCTCCTCACTGTGGGAGAAAAGTAGTATTACAGTATCCTCCCAGTATCTGCATGCCCCTAATTCTACAAGGAAAAAAAATGTGATTTTTCTGCACAAAAAAATTAATATTCCTCCATAACAAAGTGTGGATTTTTGTGTGCAGAAAACATGTTTCCTGTGCAAGACTTTCAGAAAACCTGAACCTCAGCTGTCCAGAGCTTTATAGGACAAAGTTAGCACTTTGAATTCTGCCTAGAAACAGACCAGTAAAGCTGTTTCATCTTACTGGTGGTCACATCTCAGAAGCCTTGGGACAACCCATAGCTCTCATTTTCCCTTTTATCATCAGGTTCTCAGCCAGCCCTATTTACAAAACCCACTCTTTACCAGATCCCGCTGACTGCCAAGCCAGCATAGCCAAAGAAAAATAAATTTAAGGAAGGGCAGGAGGCATAGCTATCCAGTCTATGAAAACACAGAAGCACATACACAGAACAAGCCCTGAGCTAAAAGGCTTCTCTCCAGATGCTGGAGGGGGATTTGATTGGCAAACAATTTTCTAAAAATATCCTGTGTGTCTTTAATGGACAGGCTGGTCAGTGGAGCAGCTAATATTCTGCTTTTCAATAAAGTAAGAAAGGTTAGGAGCCCATGAAATCCCATTTACCTGCACAGAGCTATAGATTCCAGAAGCAGTCGCTGGAAAAAGAAAGAGAGAGAAAGAAAGAGAGAGAGAGAGAGAGACTTGTTTGATAAGCTGCAGCAGGCAACCTATAATGGATTTTAAATGGATGTGAAGGTGAGTGACCTTTTCACCTTCTTGGGCTGGAGACCTTAGAGACTTTTGAGCTGGGCTTTGCCTTTGCCGAAAGTAGAATTTCAAAACCACTTTTTAAAAAAGGGAACACTCTGATGAGAACAAGAGCTAATCAAAGCCAGGACGTAACATACAAGTTGTAATTTGGATGCAAATCAAAAAGGCTGTTTAATTAAGAGCCTGCTAATTAGTACAGCACTCCTCTAGTGCAAATGTTTCCGTCTGAGCAATGAATCCATTCTCCGGGTATTTGCTTCCAGGCTGCTCTATTTACAGAGCACCCTTAGCGTCTCCCTTTAATACAGACTTGTAATTAGGTGCTGAACTCATCGCCTAAGGCAAGTTGAAGATCACTTGCAGGCGCCTCATCGCAGATCCATCAACTTCATGTATGAGTTGAGCACAGATGGAGTCACACTTCGAATTGAGGAAACACAGCAGCATGCTATGGTGGCATTTGTCTCCCTGTGGGATTCCCCTTTACAACCTGATAGCAAGGTAGACCACTCAAGAGCAGCAGGTAGCTATATTGTCCCAATAACCTTTCCCGACAGGGACTCCATGCAGTAGTTGCCTCTTTTTTGAAAAGACAAAACCCAGAAGATTTGGAGAGCTGTGCTCTCCAGTCTGATCATCTGGCAGCCTTAAACTCTTTCCACTTGACCATGGCATTTGAAATTGAGACGTCCAAGAATGGATACACTCCACTTTTTCAATGCCTGTCCTGCATCAGTAGCGACAGCAGGGATGCTAATCTGCTTTAGTTCCTGTGAAGAAGTAAGAGTGGTGCTTACTCTGTGCAAACAAGTCACAGAATTGTAGGACTACAGAGGAGCACCCAAAAGCTGAATGGCCAATGTTACTTGGGTTCTGGAATTCCTGCCTGGATGAAAATGGGCTAGATAGCCCACCCTGGATGAGAAAGAAGGCTAACCCTACAGAGCTTTGATTCTGTGCCCTGTGCCTGGCCGGCCCTCAGATCAATTTCCCAAGCAAACGGGCCACAGATGCTCAGCTGGCATAAACATGAGGCCAAAGTGGCAGACGGGTGCCAGCTGGCTCTTTGCTAGGCAGGGGAAACCACTCTGTATGTTTGTGTGCATGCATGAATGTTGACAAACCGCCTTTGGCAATCTATCTCCTGGGCACCATAGGTTACGCTATCTGCCTGGCCAACACAGGGCATCTGCCTGCCTCTCTCTTTTACTCACCCCTTTTTGAGGCTTCCTCATTTCAATGGAGGGAATACAGAATCACCAGGAATTAAAAAGCTGGTTGGCTGAGCAAAGCCTGCCAAGTACAGAGCTTAGGATAAGTTATTGCCCCTTTTGGATTACACCTCCCAGAATCCCTTCAGTTGGCATGGCCACTGGCTGAACCATCCCACATGGCAAAGTTATTTCTTCCTCTTTTAGACTACTTAAGAGAAATAGCTATGTAAGTCGATAAATACCTGAAATGAGGTCATGTACAATAATGTTCTTTGGTCCTCCAGTGGTTTTGGACTGCTGGAATCCCTGAGCATAGGCTAGGCTGGTTGAGATTTCTGCAAGCTGAAGCCCAAAACACAAGAAGCCCAAAGACTAAGAAACACTGGTTTAGAAGATGGAGCAAGCTTCTTTTCTGCTGTTCCAGAGACCGGGGATGCATCTGTACTGCAGAAACAATGCAGTTTGACACCGCTTTAACTGCTATGGCTCGATGCTATGGAATCCTGGGATTTGCAGGACCAGAGTTCTCTGGCACCAGAGTTCTCTGACAGAGAAGACTAAATAGCTCACAAAACTA